TAGATATATATATTAAGAGGGTTCCTCCTGATATGTCATTAGCCAGAAGGTGCAAGTAGCACGCATTGAGGATGAAATGAGAGAACGCCGCTTGAGATGGTTAGGTCATGCCTTGTGTTGCCCTATAGAGGCACTGGTGCTTAGGTGTGGAACTATGCCGAGCAAAGGTTTTGAAAAGGGATGAGATAGACCTAAAATCAAATGGAAAGAAGTCGTCTCGAAAGACCTATAAATCCTTGGAATCAATGCAGACTTAGCTAAAGATAGGGTACAACGGAAGAATAAGATCCATACATGTGATATCTCCTAGTTTGGAATAGTTTGACTTTTGGAGAACTTTTTTTGATAACTGCTTTTAGAGAACTTCCAATATCATTATTATTATTATTACTATTAACTTAATTTTCACTTTTTTTATTTGGTATAATGATGATATGAGTTAGGCTTAAATGAATAAGTGAGGAATCATATCGCCGACCCCAACTTGTTTCGAACAATATTTCTTAAAGAACCATATGTGGATACACAATAAGTCGACACCGCTTGAAAACAGTGCAACGTAAACATTAATTGGCATGGTGATGTTACAAGCCTTGCATCCCCAGAGACCCAAACCCGTGTAAGGGCCGAAACTGTGACAATAGGCTGACACTATCTGTGCGAAACCTGCTGATACACTGCTCGGCCTCGTATGCAATTATATTTCTATAGAAAAATTTATAGAAAGAAATTAGCAGATGTCATACCTTTGATTCTAGTAGATCCAATATGGTTTTTCCATATTCAGTAACTAATGACTTGCACTCCTGGCTGACGACTCCTGAAGCTCCAATCGCATGATTAATTTGAGTAATAATGGTCTGAAAAAATATGAATGACGAACATTTGTTTATTTTAAAGCATGCCGAAAGAGAATTTATTACAGACATAAGCAAGAAATCAGCATGCATCAAGAACTCAATGCTTTAAACTGAACAGCAATACAGCCATGGAGCAGCAGCTAAGTTAATAAGTCAGATGGTCCCGAAACTCCTATTGCCATGGTTATGAATAATGAGTCCTACATAAATGCCCATAAACTTAATGTACTTGATCAGGTCACTAAGCCCATACGTTTTGAATACCTTCATCCAGTAAAGAAGTGTGTATGGGTAGACGAAATAACGTAGAATTCAATCATCTTATTGTTCTTCGCAAACAGAGAAAAAAAAAAAAAGAGGACGTGTCCAGATGTGAGAATACACCTCCTGGAATTTTTTAAAGCTCTATGGAACACAGCAGTCAATGTCATTCGAGAATTCTAGGACTACATTAGATGTAAAGACCATGCCTTTATTTGTAATGTTCAACTCGGTTACTGGTTTGACCAACGTTAGCAGGTCTAAAAGAAACTTGAGGAAATCGCACTAGCCATTGACACTCCAAATAGATGCAATCAGAAAATGAAGAAAATATTAAGACAGATTTTACACACAGCCAAATTTGATAATTCAGGTTTAGGCATGGAAGCAATGCTGCTGCAGTTTGCTCATCAAAAAAATGTTGCAGTTCTTTTAGATGTGCATGTTATCTGCTCAACATTTAATGTTAATACAAATATAATTTGTAAGTGTGGTTCTGATTCCTATTGATCATATTTTCACCAAGTAAGATACATACTGTTGGTCCTGCCAATAAGGATGTTCCAGAATCTGCAATTGCTGAACAACCACCAGAACAAAACCCTGGAGAAAACAGAATATTAACTTCACAGACTACAAGAAGGAATTTGATCTGAAAATTCAGAATCATTAATATTCACAGGCAACAACATGACCAATAAATCAAGAAATACCAGTTGTTTCACCGCCGACAAGCACGTCACCCATATCAAACTGAGAATAGGGCATACTTTAATCAGTCCAAACAAAAGCATACAGCATAGGTGCAGATAAATTTTGAGAACACAAATTAGAAAATCCACCTGCCAGTAGCCTTTGTGAGTTACAGGAACATATGTATGTTTACCCTTGAAATGGTTGGGATCAACTCCACCGAAAACAAGTTCACCCCCTTCTTCCTCTTGAGCATTCCGATTGAACCAGAATGAGAATACAGGTTTCTTAACAAGACCTTGATTTACCATATTGTACCTAGAGAGTATATCATATATGTTTCAGGACTTGGTGAATCAAGCAAGACTAGAGTTTAGAAGGACATAACAGATCAAAAGAAGTAAATGGGAACCAACCATGAAATTGAGGACATAAAAAAGAAAATCTAGCAAACTTAAAATTGAAATCTATGAAAATCACCTTGAAACTAAAAAATTATACTAATAAATATTTTTCGAAATGAAAAAAAAAAATTATCGTAAATATATGAATAGCATACCAGACGGGGACGGATTTCCCCACGGATATCTCTTGAAATCCAAGACCAAGAATACCATCAAACTTGGCTGCCAAAAAGGTGATGCCTGGTTCTCGAGTTGCCTCGATAAAGTCCTACTCCAAAAGGAAGGTTAAGAAAGAACTCACGGAGTTGATGCAAAACACTTCAGTTCAATATTTACCTGATCTTTGACAATAAGATCACCAACTTTCACATTGTCGTTGCTAAAGTATCCAGAAATAGATCCAGTTCCATAGCGAATTGCAGCAGATGTGCCTGTATCAAGAATAAATTGATTGATATTATGAAAAAACTACTTTCATGCGTTCACAAGAATAAGTAGCCAACAAGAAAAGAGCTTCGTCTTCGCTTCTAATACACTATCAAGTATCAACAATTGCGAAGCTTAGTCTTGAATACTTATAGTCTCTCCCCGAGAGATGATTATCAACTGTCCACCTTTTTATAATTAATCCTATTAGGACATGTCACAGGGCAAGCATTTGATTTTCTCGCAGTGTTTAATGGTTTTCCATCATTTTATCAGATATTAACATATACAAAGATAGGATGTTCACCATTGGAGATGTGAAGGCACCAACTCACCAACTTTTTTATGGTACATGGTGTCTCGCAAGCTCCTTTTTTTAAATATAGGAGGAAACTCAGACTAACTGCATTAGTGTCTGAGCAATGCTAAAAGAAAAGCATTTGAGAGAAATCCTCTCCTAGAACTTCGGCATGCTATGTCATGCAGTTAATTGTGAGTAAAATATAGGCACAACAATTTTATGCACATACAATATACATGCACATCCACAGCATTCAAATTTGACTTCTTTGTTTTTGGCATTAAAATTCGTTTGATATTCCCAAGAGCCTAACAGAATTGTTGATCAGGTCAATTTACAAACTTAAAGATGACTTTTTATTATCAGTACGACCTTCATTAAATGAAAAGAAATTACAGCACACGCTCAATCAACAAATAAACAAAAAGCGTATATTGGACTCGTGGCAGTAAGGATAATGCGAAACAGACCAGAAAAGTGACAAACTAGCATCTATATTACCATTCTTTTTGTAGGTGCTGGAATGACTGGACTTGTACTTGGGGTGCAAATAACAAGCAAGCTGCATCAGATTAAATTAACATAAGTCTTCTCGTCAAGATATGGAAACAAACATTTGCATCAGCGATAACAACAGTATATGGCTACTCACTGAAAAGTAACATCTTGCAGAGGGCACCCAAAGATTAGAACTTCCGGTATCAAAGATCACAGTGAACTTTTGAGGTGGTGACCCAATGCAAATTTCACCAAAATACTGAGCATCCAAGTAGTTCTTTAGTGCAATAATATCAGTGTCTGAGTCTCCTATATTTCCGCCAAGATGATAAGTTCTTGCAGAATTTGCTCCATTAGAATCAATACCCCCAAAAGCCTGGTTGATCTGATCCAACTTCCTCTTTTTAATTCCAACTCTGATCAGTCCATCATTTGATACCGAAAACACCATAGGGGATAAAAGAAGCAACAAGCATAGTGCACTTAAACAGGCTCCATATCTAGTACCCATGCTTAGCACTGCATGACACATGAAAACGAGTCAATTACTCTTCAACTGTCACACATTCTCCTTTGTCATTTACGAGTCTAAAACTAAGTAAGGATAACAGAACATTAATGTCAAAAAATAATCTCTTTTAAATGACTTTCCAGAACAAGCTCAACTTAAAGTATGTTACTCCATATAGAGCTGAAAACAAAAAAAAAATATTAGTGGCACACGACAATACGTCAAAATCTGGCAGACTATAGAAACAAAGAAATAGACAGTTTCACTTCCGACCACAATCTTTTCTAGATAGCTGAGGTTATCCAAAAAATAGATAATATATATGCTGACAACCCACTCGAAGAACCCTACCAAGGAGGGGGCATGAGGGACAGAGATATCAAAATTTTATTAGATAAAACTGAAGCTCTAAGTGAGCATAATTTGACATCAACTTAGTAGGTTAAAGAAGAAAATAGCCAACAACATAAAAAGTTTATCTGCAATGTCACAAATATTTACAAAAACAATTAATCTTCTAGTGTTCAAACACAGGTAAGTGGTAACAGAACGAATAGCATCTCATTTCAATTTTGCTTCTTAAAATCATCCTACCCACATTAATATATTAGACACGATGCACAAGTACAAGGCTTTTTACAGAAGCATAAATTTCAGCAGCAAAAATTTCAAGATTTCCCCCAAAAATTGAATCTTTATACTATTATCTCAGCTGGGTCAACAAAAAATTAATGAATTTGTGTCCGATCACCTCTATTTGATCAAAAAAGTGGTCAAAAGAGAAACTAGATCATAATCATAACTTTGTTAAGGTAAAGATACTAAGTAAAACAGATTAATTAAGATGATTAATGAAGCTTACCAGAGGATCGATACACGAGAAACAGGAAGAAAGTTGGGTTTTTAGGAGAAACCTAAAATGAGTGAGAGCAGGAAAGGAAAGTCAACTTATAGAACTTTGCTTAGCCATTTGGGTTTCTCACTTTGGCCGAGGTGCGATATTTTATTAAATTAATCCAAATATCTACCCGTCATAAATTGACAAATTAATGGAACCTATACGCTATATCCAAATTAAAAATCGCAATTATTTGGAAGTAGGCTCAACAAAAGGAAAAGAAAATCTATAAAAAGGGGGG